TGAGCATAAAAAAGATCTGCAAAGTTACAAAGCTCAAAGTCCACTTCAAAAGGAGATATTTTATTTAACAGAAATCACAAGCTTTCCCAAGGCAGACGAACTTAGAGTGGTTACAATCATCCGGGTTTAAATCACGCTCAAATTGATTTGATTTTGATGCAATATTTACACTGAAGCTTGCAGGCGGCTATGGTAAGGGGCATGACATTTCCCGAGTAGGCGCCGAGTGGTGCCAATCACAACACACACTGGCTCAGCTAACCAATCACAGCACATTTCGTATTTCAGAAGGCGGGCCTTCATTTGATACAGGAACTATTCGAGCCGTTCATGCCAGACTGGGGAGAGAGGTGTTGTAATAATGTAAAATATGTGAAAAATAATGTGTTTTTCGAACAACCTAGTATGAGAGCCTGTTCTAGTACACCCCCAAAACAAAATCAAGACATTGTAAAAGAGCATAATAGGACCCCTTTAAAATAATTTTCAAATAAATTGATCTAGTAAAGTACACACCAACGAACCGCCTGGCTTTAAAAGATCTAATCTCATTGGCTGGATCATATAGACCATAATTTCTTATCGATGGTTGGCCAATTTACATGTCGGTCAGAAGTAGCCTCAGTAGGTAGTTCGAGAGTGAATGACAATGTAAATAGACACTGTTAGATGTGCACAGAGCAAATATTTGGTTCTAATAAAAATTATTTTAATTCACATGAAAAGTCAGTGATGCTGCATACACGGCATGGTAATAAAAACATGTGGGGCTTCAGCCCCCTTAGCCCACCCCTTGTGCCACCCCTGTTCCTCAATGAGATCGAGATGGAGAGGGATGAGAAAACATTGTCTTTTCGTGCATTTGCATATAAAATAAAACTTATAAAAAAGTTTAAACGCAAACATATCATACAAGTACAGGTACATCTCAAAAAATTAGAATATCATGAAAAAGGTCAATATTTTTTGTCACTCATTTCAGAAAGTGAAACCCATATATTATATAGATTCATTACACAGAGTGAAATATTTCAAGCCTTTATTTCTTGAAATTTTGATGATTATGGCTTACAGATAATTGATATTCAAATTTTTTGAGATGTACCTGTATATCAATCTCAACAGGATACTTCCCATTTTTCCCCTCATCTTTATCTGCACCCATTTACCTTCTAGTAATAATTTATTTGAGGAATGTACTCTCTTTCAGTTCAGGAGTGTGAATTTAAATTGAACTGGCCATAACACATAGGAAGTTAAATTTGAATGACAGAATTTGAACTGAAATTCAAAGAAATTCAACACAAGTAATGCATTCTGGGAAATGGTGTGCTCTTCCACCCTGGTGATTTATCTGTATGTCTGTCTGTTTCTGTCCTAAAACATTTTATTAAAACTTTCAAATTCAGGATTTAAAAGGCATCTCAATTCAATTCTAAAAGTTGCACAACACTGTTAACGATTTACTTTTTACTGGTACTTTTTATTCTATTTAACATAAAATATTTTTGGTTTTGTCATCAAAATTTCCTTTTTGGATGCTGTCATGAATTCCTCTTACCCATCTCCTCCAACCTCCTGTCATATAGAGACACGTTTAACTTTCAAATCAATTACCGATGTTTAAAATTGTCATTTTTCTCATTGAATATCATGTTTACTCAGAAATACGTAAGATCTACATCAGCATCATGTCTGATGTAGCTCTTGTCAATCAGCAGACGAGTAATTCCAGTCATTACAAACCACACCTCATTTATAATTCAGATTCATCATGTGAACATAAAACTATTTGTCAGAAGCACATCTAATCCAGGTCGTTTCTCAAAATAATAACCAAACTGAATACAAGAAATACAAGAATTTTTATGACCTTTCCCATTATTTAAAAATGTTAAAACCTCTATGAATTAATCACAACTTTAATTTAATAGATTGCAATAGCCAACACTTCTTTTTTCACTGTAATATCGCGTGCATGAAAGCCATTTTTTCAGCTTTTCATATTTCAGTAACATCTCCAGCAAAACAGATTATATGCTCTTTAGTATACCAAATACAGCAAATAAATTACTTTTAACTTGGCCTGATCCATATTTGTTGCCTTATGTTCAGACCATTTTATTACAGTATATCCTCTATATTAAAATTCTCTATAATGAATTCACTTTAGTGCATCATGTATTTTACAGTGATGGTTTTGGCAAGATGCTAATGTTCCCCATATGGAAACAATAACATGACCTGATGGGGGAAACCACTGTCCTTTAATTCACCCAAAAATGAAAATTAGGCTGTTTTACTCACCCCCGAGGCATCCTAGGTGTATATGACTTTCTTCTTTCAGACGAATCCAGTCGGAGTTATATTAAAAATTGTCCTGGCTATTCCAAGCTCTATCATTGAAGTCAGCGGGTGTTGCAGTGCTTCAGTCCAAAAGAAGTGAAATAAAAATCGCCCATCCATAAAAAAAAGTGTCTCACACGGCTGCGGGGGGTGAACAAAGGCCTCCTGTAGCGAATCGATGCGTTTTTGTAAGAAAAATATCCATATTCAAAACGTAATAATCATTTTAATGTAGCTTGCACCAACAGTTGTACATGGAAGCAGCTACGGGAGGATGACGTATGAGTTCAGCGTTGCGCATGCGCCAGTGAGTTTCGTGAAAACCAACGTTTGTTTACAGGAGCAAAGGAAGCAAAGCTTCCTTACTTTAGCAAAGGAAAACCAGTCTCCTCATGGCAAATCATTCTTGCAAACGTTTTTTCCTTGGAACATAAATCTATTTATTGGGTTAATTATTAATCAATTGTATTTATTTGGTAAGCTGCTGTGTAAAAAAGCAAGATCACATATAGTGCTTTAAAAATTGTTTTTTGCTAACAGCGTGTCTATCAAGTCTAGATTTTTTTTTTTTGGATTGCATATGGATCTTAATTGCATCTGTCAATCTGGAAAAGCCATCGCTGACAGATTCGTCCAAGCATGTGTCGGTCATCTATGTGCTTGACGTGATGCACGTTCCTCTGTGAAGGAAGAACGCATCACACAAACCTCAGAGAGGAGTTTAGATCCAGCCGAACAGGCTGATCTCAGCAGAGCATCTGTGTGAAGATCACTGGGGCCGGATTTCATATGCTTAAGTGAGTAATGACAGTGTGTGAGCGAGATGGATGCTAGAATACACTCAACCTGAGGTCATCTGAGCACCGCACCCAGCACTGAGCCGCTGCGGTCACACACCACCAAAATGAAAGACGCCAATTTATCGCTATATTCTGTCCACGGCTTGTGGTTCAAGTCTTGTTCGGCATCCGTCTGTGTGTTGACAACAGACAGTAAAGCAGCTCACTAGGTTTTTGAACAGAGATGATTTATTCAATTAAATCAAAGATTTAAGAAACAGGATGGTACATTCAGTAACTCACCAATAAAACAGTAACACACAAGATCCGGCCTCAATTAAGTTTAATAACAAAAAACTAAACGGAAGATGGTGACATCCAGGTAACAGCGAGAGTACAGACAGAAGATCACAGCACCCGTGTGATGTCCACATGTTAGTGTTTAGAAACCACGTTTCATCTTCTAGACACATGATCAAGGACGTTTCCCAAAAATGACAGCCTGTCCATTAACATGGTCCCATCTACAGGTAGAAACCTAGTTAGCTGTGATGGTGTTATTGACTGGTTTGTTCACTGATGTAGAAGAGGACGAGTTCTTGATCTGTGTCGCCTGTGAACATAAAGCAGTAAATGCTGGTTCAAATGTTTATAGTAGTAGCTGCACAAAGTTCTGGTTCTGTGTGCAGTAGTTGTGGATCACATGACTTCAGTTTTGCTGGTTCTATATGTCAACAGCATCTACAAACTGTGTCCCAACTGTGTAATGACCTGTAACAGCCAAATATAGTTGGAATTACACAAAAGTGAAAATAAACTGATCCTGGAGCGTGAATGCAAGCACCATGGATCTGGCAATACCAGAAACAGTAAAGAGCGCTGATGCTGCGTGGCGATTCTGAACACATCTGAATTCTGAGAGTGTGTGTGAATCTGTACTTGATGCTGATTCAGTTTAACACTATTAAGTCTATTGTACCATATTTAATATGCCTATTTATAAGGCCTTTAAATGATCAACATTATCAAAACTTTGCTGAAAAACCTCTGGCAAACAATCTACTACATGCCTCCTGATGTCTGACTGATAGCTTCTAGTTTTTTTTTTTGATCAAGTAAAAGGTCTTTTAGTCTAATTGTACAAACGTCCAGCTTCAGCTCGATCTTCACGTGTCTTTTTGGTGTCAAATATTTACTGAATTTTATAAAGTAAACGTAAGAATAACTGCAGTAATATTTCCAGATGAACACTTACTGGACTGAAGCAGCTCAGCTTTACTTGATTCTCCATCAATCATTTTTTTTTAGAAAAATCAGTGTGTCTCAAATCTGATCATCAGGATCTTTTGAGGAGCGTTTATTTGTTCATCTCTCAATCATCATTGGATTGCATTGCATTATATGTTTGGATCATTTAAATCTCATCTTACTAAGACATATTATTGGAGATACAGAGAGACGACTGATATTTATAGCATTTTATGTAAGTATCTGCGATACTGTTATAAAGATCTCATTGATTTACATTACAAGCATTCAGAATTTCATTTTACTTTTTGTCATATAAATATCAGCATCTGCATAATCTTGCCCAGAGCTGTTTTTCCTTCATATCCTCACTATATCATACTATATGAGCCATAAAAGCCTGATGTATCAAATATTATAATGAACAAAAATATATATGGAACTGTTTAAATTTAAGATTTAATATGGTTTAAAATGTTCCATTTAAAAATTATATATTTCAAATGTCAGGCTTTACAGGATTAAACAATAACGGTACATCCGACAGAAAAAAACGTACCTGTGCTTTAGAAGTTGATCATACGCTTCACAGCCTCAAAGCACTTCCACTTGTCAGGGATGTAGAAGGGCTCAAAGATGTGAGGGAAGGGCGTATCATACCCACAAACCCTGCTGATGGGAGCCTCCAAGTTGAGGAAACACTCCTCCTGCAGAAAACACAGTCAGCTCCATCAACAGTTTGTACCATACACATAAACCTATACAAAAAAATGTGTCAAATACTTAAGAAATCAACTATTTTCAAATTGTAGAGATCTGACATTAAAGTTATGAAACATTAAAGAGATGAAAATTCTATTCAACCGATGCTTTAAAAAGTTCATACAGAGATCATGAAATTCAAACAATCACACAACACTTTACATGACGAAGAGATTTAATTTAGGCTTTTTCTCACATATGAACCTAGATCAACGCACATATATATAGAGTTCATCAAATATGGTAAACAGAAGCTCAAACGTGCTTGCTTGATGTGAAAGAACCAACAGGTTTGGTCTTGCACATCAAGCAACCGACTAAACCACTCGATTCGATGTCTTTATAAACTTTACAATGTATTGAAACGTGAATGTTTTGGTATAATAGACTTTCAATGGAGGGACAGAAGGTTTCATCAAGTCTTTGGAACGACGTGAGGGTGGGTAAATGACGACTTGTGTGTGTGTGTGTGTGTGTGTGTGTGTGTGTGTGTGTGGATTAT